GCCTCTGCCTCCTGAGTGCTGGGATTAAAGGCGTGCACCACCACGCCCCACAAGTGGCACACATTTTTAAGGAAGCAGAGGCAGGTGGATTTCTGTGAGTTCAAGGCCAGCCTGGTCTACATAGTGAGATCCAGGCCAGCTAGTGCTACCAAAAAAAAAAAAAAATGTTTTTTTTTACAATGCGTATTTTCTCTATGTCCCCGCCCACTTCTTTCTCCTTCCTTAGGACTCAAGAGAATAAAAAGAAGGTTTACCACCAATAATAATAATTGACTAATAATTGACTTTTTTTTTTTAGATGGGGGTCTCATATAGCCCACGCTGAGCTCAAATATGCTACGTAGCCTGGATTTCTGATTAGTCTGCCTTTATGTCCTAAGTACTGGGATTACAGGTGCGCACCACCACATTGATTTTATGTAGTACTGGGGATTGAACCCAGGGCAAGTACTCATATAGAATGGGCTACACTCTCAGGCTCTAAAAAGTTAACTTGACTCCATCCTCTGTGTTCTCTTTTTAGGATCTTTGCAACAAATATTCTACTTCCCCTCTTTCCCTTCAAGCTTACAAACACAAGGTTTTCTTAATTTTATATAAATTCTCCTTTAACTTGTCCAGAGTATTTGGTGCCAACCTTATACTGGGAATAATATTTCACTCAATCATTCTATTCTCTTGCTTTTCAGTTATTCTTGAATCTTCATTTAAACCACTGTATCAATATTTCAAAAGGAGTTCAGTATACTGGGTATGGTGGCACATGCCTTTAATACCAGCACTTGGGAGGCAGAGGCAGGTGGATCTCTGTGAGATCAAGGCCAGCCTGGTCTAAGTAGCAAGTTCCAGGCCAGCTGGACCTATAGGAGACCCTGTCTTTACAAAAAAAAAAGTTTACTAACATCTTCCTAAATGCCAATTCAAGTCTCTTCCTTTTTTTTTTTAAACTCAATCTCTCTACACAATCTGAAAATGTTGTCATTTGTACCCTACAAATTTCATTTTTGTTTGACTTCTATGAGACTCCATTCTTTTTTTTAATATTTTATTATTTTTATTTTTTGTGTATGCATGTATTGCCTGTGTGTAGGTAAGTGCATCTGTGTTGTGCAATCCCCGTGGAGGACAGAAGAGTCTGTTGAATCCCGTGGAACTGGAGTTACAGACAATTGTTAGCTGCCATGTGGGTGCTGGGATTCAAACCAGGGTCTTCTGCAAGAACAGTCAGTGTTCTTAACTGCTGAGCCATCTCTCCAGCCCCAAGACTCCATTTTTGCTTTATTCTATTCCAGACTCCCTTTTGTTCAAGGGTTCCATGCAGACATTTCCTAGATTCTGTTCTCTATTCATCCTATTTTTCTTCCTGGAAAATCATATTCATGCTTCCCCACTGTAAAATGAAAATGAAGTCCACAACCCTGCACATTTTTTTTTTTGCTTGAGTTTTCAACAAACCTGCTATCCAAGTATCTGTTAAACATTTCAAATAGGATACTTTCCCAGCAACTCCATGGCAATATCTTAAAATAACAATCATTGCATCCAAGTCCAAAAAACAATTCTCTTTGCTCTTCCAAGATTCTTCTTGATTGTTTGTATCTGTGTACACATGTGTGTGTGTGTGTGTGCGTGTGTGTGTGCGCGAGTGTGCCATGCGGAGGCCAGAGGACAACTTAGAGTGTCAGTCATCGGGAGATGAATTTGGAGAATTTATTCCTTTCCCTCAAACCATACTCCTTCCCTCTAGTTCTGAGATTAAAATGGTGAGATTCCATTAAATGTTCTTGTCTTATTCCTTATACTCTATTTTCTAATTTTCCCACAAAAATCCTATATCATTTATGCATATATTTATATTTTTTGAGACAAATTCTCACATATCCCAAGCTAGTCTTAAACTTGATATTCAGCCAAGAATGACCTTCAACTTCTGATCCTCCTACCTCTATCTCAGTGCTGGGGTAACAGATATGAGCTACCATACCCAGTTTTATGTGGTACCAGGGATCAAACCCAGGGCTGTGTATATCCTAGACAAGCAATCTACCAAATGAGCTACACTCCCAGCCTAATCATGTATTTTTAACCAAAATATAGTATGCCTTCCCTAGTCACTCTCATTCAAGCCTGGATATTCTAATAAATTTGGTTAGTCCTCCATTTATCTATCACATGCAAAGTATTAATAAGGAAAAAAAGCCATTAGTTCTCCATGTCTCTTCCTATCATTTTTCACTTGAGCTTGTATCCCACCACTCACATATTTATATTCAGAGTTCTTTTTTCTGGCAGTAGTAAGGATTGAACCTATGGTCTCCTACAGAGGAAGTGATTGCCCCATTACTGAGTTAGAGCCTCAGTCCTTAGATGGTTCTTGAGAAACGGGAAGTGTTTCTGCCCTGTTTTTCTCTTAGTGTATCAGATGTAAAAGAACATACCACTGAACAACAATGACTGCCAAGGAAGAGGACTGGTCAGTCCCATGACTACATCTCCCTCTGGGAATCCACCATTGTTTCACGTTACAGGATTTATTTATAGCTCAAGTTCTAAAGGACCCATAATCTTACTAAATAGTTCTCACCACTCTTGTGTACTTCTCACTGCTCCAATGTTTATTAATTGTTTCAGCGAAGGACTAAAATTCATTTTTCCATGGTCTGAATTTTTCCTGAAAAACTCAGTTTTGCAGCTCAGTGTGGTAGCACATCCTATAATGTATCATTTGGGAGGTAGAGGCAAGAAATCAGAAGTGCACCAGGTGTGGTGGTGCACGCCTGTAGTCCCAGCACTCGGGAGACAGAGGCAGGTGGATCTCTGTGAGTTCAAGGTCTGCCTGGTCTACATAGTGAGTTTCAAGGCCAGCTGGGGCTCTGCAAGGGGACCCTATCTCAAAAAGACCAAAAAAAATCAGAAGTGGTGCAAGATCATGATGACTATGCAATGAGTTAAAAATAAAAGGCCAGCCTGGCCTACACAAGACCCTATCTCAAAAACAAAACAAATCAAAACAAAAATAAAAGAAAAAAGAAAACTAAATAATTGTCTATAACTTTTCATCAGATACTTCCAGACTCTAGATACTAGTAGTTTTAAGTCCCAGAGACCTGATCAGTGAGGAAAGATGGCTTATAGGAGCCATCAGTGGATGTGTTGCCAGTTCCCCTCAAGGACTTCATGTGAGAAACTGCCATTCGTAAGATGGTTAGCTTGTCTGGTTTTCGAGCCAGGGCACTGCAAGTAGGTACCATGTCTGACAATTCTGTGATGTAAGCTGTCATCTTGTTGCGTCGCCGTCGTTCAATTTCACTATGATTTTCCCTGTAGAGAGAGAGAGAGAGAGAAAGAGAGAGAGAGAGACCCCATTCCAGGTGGTCACATTTGGCCATTTGGCATCAGGAGAGTGATATGGATACCAGGTGAGCTGCTGAAGAATATGGTATTTAGGATGAATGATGCTTAAGTCTTAGAAGTTTGCCAACTTTCTCATGCAGAGCAAGCATGAAACAGAAACTAACAAAGTCTAGACAAAGAACAAACACATTGCATCTCCTAAAAACTTGAGTTCCTCTGTAAATTACCATTTCCTCAGAATAAAAAATATTTTAAGAAACAAGATTTTTTTTTATGTTGATTTCAGTTACTTAAGCTCCTAAGGGGGTAAATCTCAGCTTTACTGACTGCATGTTTACTAACTGAAATGCTTAAAGGCCAGAGAATAAAATGGCCAATTTTTGCCAATTTAAGTATGTTGCTCAATAGCTTATATAAAAAAATAATAGTATAGAGGTCAGAAGCAGTGGCACTTGCCTGTAATCCCAGAAGACTAAGGCAGAAGGACTTTGAGTTTGAAGTTAATCTGGGCTACACAGCAAGTTCCAGGGTAGTCTGGACCACATAGTGAGACTTTGTCTCAAAAAAACAGGGGCAAGAAGCCTGTCTCAAGAAGCCAGGAACAGTAGCACATACCTATCTGTAATCTCAGCAATTCTGAGGCTGAAGCAGAATTCCAATGAGTTCAAAATAAGCCTGGACTATGCAGTAAGTTTGAGGTCAGCCTGGGCTATGTAGCAAGCCCTCATCAAAACAAACAAACAAAAAACAGGAGGGAAGGAAAAAAAGAATTCTAGAGTTTCCTTTTACATGACAAAAGGTCTCACCACATAAGTTCATATTAGTGACTTTGCCTAAAATACAAGAAAAAAACCTACTCTCAAATTTTAAGATTTAAAGTGCCGCCATCTTAGTATCTGACACTTTTCTGACAGTAAAGTCCAGAAAGATGATCTGTGTGTGTGTGTGTGTGTGTGTGTGTGTGTGTGTGTGTGTACACGCATAGGAATGTGGAGATGCGCATGTGTGTGTAGATCAAAGGTCAACCTCAGGTGTTGTTCAAGATAGTTAGCCATCTTGATTTTTCAAACTTTTTTTATTTAATTTTTTTATGTGTATGAGTGTTATGCCTGCACTTATGTAAGTGCACCCGTGTTATGTACCACCTGTGGAGGAGAGAAGAGGGTGTCACATCCCTTGGAATTAGAGTTATGGACAGTTGTTAGCTGCCATGTGGGTGCCAGGAATTGAAACTTGGTTGTCTCTAAGAGCAGTCAGTGTTCTTAATCACTGAGTCATCACTGAGTCAGGCCCAATCATCTTGATTTTTTTGAGATAGTTTCTCACTGGGACCTGGAGCTCACCCTTTAGGCTAGGATAGCTGGCCAGCAAGATCCAGGAATCATACTGCTTGCCTCGCTGGTATGTTAGAATTACAAACATATGCCTCCACCACATCCTGCGTTTTAGTGGGTTTTGGGAATAAAACTTGGGTATTCATGCTTGCATAGCAAGCACTTTACAACTGAGCTATCTCCCCAACCTAGAGAGTGATATTTTGTTGTTGTTGTTGTTTTGTTTCATTTTGCTTTGCTTGAGACAAGGTCTCACTATGCACTCCTGATGGAACTTGAACTCACTGTGCAGATCAGGCTGACCTTGAACTCACAGAGATCCACCTGCCTCTACCTCCTGAGTGCTAGGGTTAAAGGTGTGCACCACCACGCCTAGCATAGAGTGATTTTTTTTTTTTTCCCTGTAGCTCCAGCTGCCTGGAACTTGCTCTGCAGACCACCAGGCTGGCCTCGAACTCACAGAGATCCGCCTGCCTCTGCCTCCTAAGTGCTGGGATTAAAGGCGTGCGCCACCATGCCCGGCATAGAATGATCTTTTAAATAGCCATATCAAGGTAGCTAAAACTTTCCTGAGATATCACAAAGATTCAATCAGGAAAGTAATGCCAGTTCTATTGACACAGTAATCTAGACTGTCTACATAGGAAGATAAAAGTGAATTTTCTGGATTAGTACAAAGTGCTAAGGTCTAAATACTGGGAACTATGGTGATTACAGGTGTATTTTTTTATTTTCTCTGATAAAAAAAAAATATTTTCCTGCTAAAGCACCTATGGACACTGTCACATTTCTACTTTCTTTTTATTCTGTGCAACTTAGTGCTGAGACAAAAAGAAAAAGAAAAAGACTTAAAACTAATAGCAATTTCTTAAATTCCTAAGTGAAATTCCCTCAACTCACCCACTTTCTGATGGGGGAAGCCAAAGTTCCTGTTACACCCAAACTTGTAAAAACTCGTGTCCTCTCTTGCCACAGATAAGAAAAAATACAGAAAGGGGAAGAAAAGATAGAGTAAGAAGAAGGGTAAGAAAAGCAGCATCACCCGCTTCATCATGTTAAACAACACTTTCTCCTACCTGGCAAGTCTCTCTTTATCCGCAGAGCTCTGCTCATCATCCGACCTAAAAACAGAATTAATGAACTAAGCTAAAATTAAAATAAAAAGGAAGAAAGGAAGAAGGAAGAAAGGGTGGGGGAAAGAGAGGGAGGAGAAATGGGATGTAAATTAAAAAGGAAAGAAAGAAATAAATAAAATAGATAAAGGAAAGAAATAGAAATACAAGCAGGAACTTTGCCTATATTTATAGGACCATGTTAAAATAAAGAAAAAGTAATTTACAAGTCAAAAGTCAACATAAAATCAAGGCCAATTATAAATTAACATGATCCCAACACAGAAAAGCATTTTGACAAATATTCTCTGTAGAGACCAAAGATACACAGTTTGAACGAGAACCAACCAGGGAATTCAGAAATACCATTCTCATATGCTGCTGCCAATCTGGGAAGAAAATTATATCCACATATGCTATTCTACAGTGAAAAAAATTAAAGACTAAATTAAATATAATAGTGCCAAACAAGTGATCAGAAATATAATATTCTCATAAGACAAACGTATACATGTACACAAACCCAGGCAAAAATTGATTAGATTGTATTTTTTCCATTATAATATCTCTCTCTCTTTTTTTTTTTTTTTTTTTTTTTTGTTTTTTTTTTTTGGTCTTTTTGATTCAGGGTCTCCCTGTAGACCCAGCTGTCCTAGAACTCACTATGTAAACCAGGCTGGCCTTGAACTCACAGAGATCCGCCTGCCTCTGCCTCTGAAGTGTTGGGACTAAAGGTGTGTGCCACCAAACTGGCTTCCATCATAATATCTTTTATATTTACTCTGTGTGTGTGTGTGTGTGTGTGTGTATACACATGTACACATGCATGGACACCACAGCACATGGGTGGAAGTCAGAGGACAACTTGTGAGAGTCAGTTCTCTCATTCCACCATGTGGATTCTGGGGATTGAACTCAGGCTTGATAGCAAGCACCTTTACCTGCTGTTCTACCTCACCAGCTCATGACCAGATTTTACTTAAGAAATTACATAACTATGGGGGCTGAAGAGATGGCTTAGTGGTCAAGAGCACTTTCAAAAGACCCCAGTTCAGTTCCCAGCACCCGCACGGTGGCTAACAACTGTTCATACTCCAGTTCCACAGAACTCAACACCCCCTTCTGGCCTCTACAGGCATGTACTCATATGGTAGGTTCACATACATGCAGCCAAAACACTTATATACATAAAATGAATATAAATAATTTTTATAAAAGAAGTTACATAACTATGGGGCTGGAGAGATGGCTCAGCAGGTAAGAGCACTGACTGCTCTTGCAAAGGACCCGGGTTCAATTCCCAGCACCCACATGGCAGCTACAAACTATCCTTAACTCCAGTTCCAGGGGAATCCGAAGCCCTCTTCTGACCTCTGAGGCAATGCACAACATGGGTGCACTCACATACATTCAGGCAATACACTCATACACATAAAATAAAAATAATTTTATAACAATTACATAACTAAAACAAAGAGCTAAGTTTCTGACATAACTTCTATCACTGAAATGCTCCTAAACTAGTATTTTTTAAAGATTTGGGGGGTGTTTTGGGGGGGGATGTTGTTTTTTTGAGACACGGTCTCACTATTTAGCCCTAGGTGACCTGGAACTGGTAGACCAGGTTGACCTCAAACTCACAGAAGTTCACCTGTCTCTGTCTCCCAAGTACTAGAATTAAAGGCTGCACTACAATGCCCAGTCTATTTTTATCTTTAATTATGTGTGTGCGGGGGGGGGGGGGTGGGGGGGGGGGTAATGTGCACTTGAGTACAGTTGCCTATGAAGGCCAGAAGAGGGTATCAGATACCATGGAGCTGTGTAAGCCGCCCAACATGGGTGCCAAGAACCCAATTCCAGTCCTCTGCAAGAGCAAAGTATACTCTTTTTTAAAAAATATTTTATTTCTTTTCATTTTAGGCGTATGAGTATATTGCCTGCATGTATGTAAGTACACCCGTGTTGGGCAATGCCTACAGAGGTCAGAAGACAGCATCAGATTCCCCTGGAACTGGAGTTATAAACAGTTGTTAGCCACCATGTGAGTGTTAGAAATCAAATCCAGATCCTTTCCAAGAGCAGTCAGTGCTCTTAACAGCTGAGCCATCTCTGCAGCCCATGAGCAGTATGCACTCTTAGCCACTAAGCCATCTCTCCAGTCCCCTGAACAAATTCTTAATTTTCATTCAGTCATTTTAACATTTGGTGCAGTACAACCACAACATAGTTTATATCCTCAGTATCAATCCTTCTTTCCTTGGAAGGAAACCACTAATTTTTATCAGAAAACAGATAGTACAAAAGTGAGTAGCAACAGGAAAAACATCAACGTATTAGCAACTCAGTGTTATCAGTACTTCATTCTATTTTGATAAGATAGATAACCCACAAACAAAATATCTAAGTATATCAGCAGTCTGAAAAGCTTAGTTATTAAAAATGACAGTAACAATGAGCAATGAAACCCAATGGCAGAATACATGCCAACACATACAGGACCCTAGGTTCAAACCTCAGCAATGCAAAAGTACAATGAAGAGGCAGGACTTGCTGGTACACAACAGTAATTTCAAAACTTGGAGGCAGGACAATCAAGAGTACCAAGCCAGCCTAGGCTACATAGAAAGTTTGGCTTAAACAAAGACAGCGAAGCCAGGCATGGTAGGTATGCAAATAACTTCTGGAGATTCTGCCTTAAGAAGGATGCAGCTGCTGGCAGGGACCTTGTAGTCCTAGCTACTTGGGATGATGAGACAGAAGTGCTTGTGCCTAGGGACTCAAAGTCTGCCTAGGCAACAGAGCAAAACTTCAACTTAAAAAAAAAAGACACTCAGGAGGCAGAGGCAGGCAGATCTCTGTGAGTTCAAGGCCAGCCTGGTCTATATAGTGAGTTCCAGATCAGGTGGGGCTACAAGTGCTCACTTTGTAAGCATCCTTGTAATCTCAGAGCTGGGAAGGTAGAGACAGGAAGATCCCCAAGGCTCACTGGCCAGCCAGCCTAGTATTCTAAGCCAAAGAGAGAGAAAAACCCTGTCTCAAATAAATGGCAGTAGCTCTGGATAAATAATACCTGAGGTTTTCTTCTGAACTCTATATATGCGCGTGCGCGCACACACACACACACACAAATGGCCATACACATACACACACAAAAAAATGGCCAATAGAAAAAAAAGAACCAGGCTGAAGAGATGGCTCAGCAGTTAAGAGCACTGACTGCTCTTGCAGATGACCAGGATTTGATTCCCAGCACCCACATAGCAGCTAACAACTGTCCTGACTCCAGTTCCAGGGAATCAAACACCCTCTTCCAACCTCCGCAGGCACTGTACAACATGGGTGCACTTACATACATGTAGGCAATACACTCATAACATAAAATTAAATAAATAAAATAAAATAGAACCTGGTATGGTGGGGCACACCTTTAATCCCCATACTCTGGAAGCAGATGAAAGCAGATACCTGAGTTCAAGGCCAGACTGGTCTACATAACAAGTTCCAGGTCAGCCAGAGCTACATTATGAGACTCTGCCTCAAACAAGCAAAAACAAAAAACATGACACAAAATTTCAGAGAAACAATGAAAAGTATGTAAAAGTTCATGTACAGAGCAGGACATTTGACTTATCTTCACATAGGCGGAACTGGTAAAAGAAAGGAGCCAGGGTCTCCTCCCAAGCCCATGTGACCCCTGAGGAACAGATCCTCAAATGGCCTAAAGAGTAAAAGTAAATTGGTTGATCTGGGCCAACTGTATGGCCTTGAACACTCAAATGGAAAGTATAACCAAAGACTAAAGGGGCCAATATAATTTTTTAAGAGTCCATATGTATAGCTAAAGACTACATAACAAGCAACAATGCCAGACAAGTGAGACCTTCTTTTGAGTTGATGGCTAGGATGGCCAAAGGGATTCCCAGATAGTAACCCAGCATAGAAGTGGGAAAATGAACAGCAGACCCCAATCTTATACAAAGGAATAAGTTGTCTATACTGTTTACAGCTAGATGAGGAACAGCTGACCCTCCTAAAACAAAGATCTCTAGGTAGGCTGACTAGATTCACCAGAAGGGCAAGC